CTGCATACAAAGCAAAATCGTCAATTTTGCAATATTTGCATTGATTTTTGAACTTTAATTTGAAAATAAACATTTTCTAGGCTTTTCATAAACTCAACGTCAGCTAACCACTAGCACTATTAGACAAATGGCACCCGCGTCGCGCAGGAGGGCGTACCTCGGTCGTATCTCTAGGAATGGTAGGCGCGTATTCACACTCACACTAAATCTGTATAATTTACCAGATCCAGTGTAAATTTACCAGCAGAATTATTATTTACACTCAAAAAAGGTTTTCACTACTGTTCAACACTCATCAGTGTACATTAAAAGTTGCTTCACACCCATAAAGTTGTTTTAGCACCCAATTAATGATAAAATCCCGCTAAAAATTCACCCTACTTAATAGTTCATTCGAGTGTTAAATGATGGTAAATAGTATTAATTTGCAAGAGTGTTAAAGTATACACTCACAATTTTACCACCATGAAATGTATTTTACCCGGTTCAAATTTTTGACTGTGTATACAGGGTGTCCCAGGTAAAAGTAAGTACATGGGGATTTCGGAAACGGTAAGAGATACAATTTTTGTTAAATGGGAAAAAAGTTGCGCTATTCCGACAATTCGACCCCAATCAGATGCTGTATCAAAATTGGAAATATCTATAGTTACGAAACTATGACAATAAACATAATTATGGCATTAGTCCACAACCAACTAAGTGAAATTTTTTTTTTTTAAATTTTCGTTTTCCGTCATTCAAAGATAGGTCTGTTATACATGGCTAAAAAGCCCTTTTTATGCTCCATCCAATGACGTAAAAAGCAATACGGCGGCTATAAGAAATAACAAAGTTGGCTATGGTTGCGAAAAAACTAGAAGGCCTGGAAAAAAATTGGTAACGTCATTCGATTACCCGTATTCGCTAATACAATACTACCGAATTTCAATTAATTTGTTTACAAGATGGCGACGATATTTCAATTTTTCGAAAAACACAATTTTCAGTTTTTGCTGGACATTTTGAGAACCCCTGTAGATATTTTCAATTTCGATGTAGCATCTGATTGGGCTCGGAATAGCGTAACTTTCCTTCCATTCAATCAAAATTGTATCTCTTACCGTTTCCGAAAACCCCGTGTAGTTACTGTTATGTGAGACACCGTGTATACTCGCCTCTGATTTTTGCAGTGTTCTTTCCAATTAGAGCACTGTAGGATGCAGGGAAGGCTGTTTCGCAAGCATGAGCGCCGTCTGGTATCACAAGTTGACTTGTAGCTGCATTTTCCTAGGACTGGAAGCTCGTGACATATTTGTGCCTCATGGTCCAGTTTGGTTTCCAGCCCACTTTACCTCGTGTTCATCTCCAAGCTGAGGGATTTTGACGGCATTCAGTAGGTGACAAGCACCGGCCCCATACATGACGTGCTTGGTTTGAAGCTGGCAGTGCATGCTGTTGCAATGCAGATGGCGTTGGAGTGAGGAATTGCACTAATTTATTTTTTGTACAAATTAAATATTTTCGTATGTTCGTAGTGGATTTATCTTGTGTTTTGGGGTCATACACAATGGCAATAAATGCGTCCAAAGTTTTCATTATTTCTTCTGTTATTTTTTTTCTGGATTGGCGAGTTCAAGTAAAGCTGATGTCACTTCCGGGCGCTTCATCCAGGTCAGGAATGCCTTCCTCTTACCAATAAAATTGGAGGAAGACGCTGTCTCACAACCTGTATAATAATGAAAGCCACGTAGGGCTTGTGGGGTATCTTCTCCAAGTGCTGACGCAATCGAATGAGTAGCTACATATTTATCGGCGCTTGGCACCAATGATACCAACACCTGACAGTATCAGAGATTTCACGACTGCAATCAAGTTAGAGGAACAATTTCTAATTTTTTCTATAACTTCATCAGTATATACATGCACTATGAAGGGATGCTTTCCATTTTCCCTCTTCGAAGCAAAGAAAACATTTAATGGATTTCAATGCTACGATGGTCAATGACGATCGAGTGCGTCTGCCTCTGCCAGGGAAATTTTTAGGTGAGACAATTTTTCTCCTCTGTACTGAGATCAGTGACATCTACAGTTTTGGTAATATTTTGTAGTGTTTTCAATCAGGGTCTGGTAAAACATGCTCCAATACTCTCAGGTCCTTCAGAATTTCACCAACAGATGTATAACTTGAATTTCTCTGTTCAGGGTTCAAGTTGCTGGCTGGGCTGAGTGACATAGGCAGCATAATGACCACTCCAAATCATACACTGCAGCCGGTAAAGAACTTAAAGAAGCCATAGCCACCACCGTTTACGTCTTTCCGTCCCTTCGGCATTGTCTGTTATCTGAATGAAATTTAAAAGTAATGTTGATATATCGTGGAATAAACAAATAAACTTGCATGGTACATCAGTGGCTTTTACATGATGCTTAGATAACATAACGCCATCTCGACTACCAAAATAGGTGAAAATTTTCAAATCATTGTCGAGCGGTAAAGATATGAATAAATCGGCCTAGATATGAGAAATGAAGCATGTTTCTCACCCAAAAATAGATTTTGGATATTATTTTTATCATTGCCATCGGAAACAACACCCTAAACGTAAGTATCGCTCTAACAATAGTTATTTAAGTATTAAGGGCGGTAAGTGTCATTTTCCGCCCGAGTGTGTTTGAAGACCAACGCGACAGCGGAGGCCTTCAATATTCGAGAGTGGTTAACGACACACTATATCTGAATAATGGCACCCATTTGACATTGTTTTCAAAAATAAACAGTCTGCCCCTTTATATAAAAGCGCATTTCCACTGAAAAATTGGCAATTTCTGTATTTGCAAATCTTCCAAGAATCAACAACTTTAATATGTTTCATGGTTATCCACACCGATTTTGGTAATAATATATGTAGGTATAGTTGTTGGATGAATATTATAATAAATAGTTCTAGGTGATTTATCACCTAAAAAAGACGGGCGATAAGATCAACTTACCGCCGGCAAACACGGGCGGTAAGATGAATTTACCGCCCGATGGTGCATAATAGTATATTATATAATAAGTGTGGTAACTAGGTTATTACCGCACGCGAGAGAAATTTGCAAACCGAGCCGGTGAGGCGAGGTTTGCAATCTCTAAGGGCGGTAATAACCTAATTACCATACGTATTATATACAGTATTTTATCTACGAGCGTGCGGTAACAAAATATTCGAAAGAAATTAAAAAAATTATTAAAAAAAAATTTCGTCTATCACCTTTGACAGCGGACAAGTAGAATTTAGGTGATAGGTAGGTAATTTATTTCTGGTGGTACCTATGTAGGTAGAGCGTGCGGTAATAATATTACCGCACGCCGTGCGGTAATGTGGTACTTACCGCACGCAAAATCGTGTAATATAATTTAGTTACCGCACGCTTGTAGATAAAATATATTGCCTAAAATTCGCCGGAATTTTGAAAACTGGCGCCATTTCCAATCCTAAGGCAAGGAACTTCCCTCTGCGACTCAAATCCCTCCAATAGGTCTAGGCAACATGAGTGTATAAAGGGGCACAATTTTAATATGAAATGCCGAATAATACCCGATTTTCACACGAGCCGCTTCCACTATTTACGAGCCTTGTCGAGGTCGGAGTACCACCAAGGGGTTTTCTTCTTTCTCGTTAGGTCCGAAGCTGACAGCTTCGTTCATACGCATCAGTGATTGCGTTAGGTATGAATTCGGCTGTTTCCTCTACTTGCCTTGCGCTGCCGCATGGCGTGGTAAACTGTAGCTAAGCCCTTAGGATCTCAACGTATTGGTCCCAGTTCGTGCTCCGGAGGTTCCTGAACATACTGGGCCCAGCCTTGTGAACAAGGTCCAAGCTGAATAGGATGTTTCTGTGATCCGATAGGGACGGTTTGTCAGATACTGTCCACTTGCTTATCATCGTGGTCATGGAGAGGAGAGTGAGCCCAATGTCAAGCCTATCACCTCTATTCTACGCGAAGTGATAAAGTTCGGTGCGCTGCCACGGTTGAGGATTTCTAAATCCGTGGTGTGAAGGTACTCCAGAAGACTGAGTCCTTTCCGGTTCGTGTCGGTGCTGCCCCACACCATGTGTTGTGCGTTGGCATCGCATTCGACAATCAACGGAAGGTCCAGTGAGTTACAGTACTCCACCGAATCGATAAACTGCCGTGTTGGGGGATCATCTGTTGAGTCATAGGGGAGATAGGCCGGGCAAACTACTATCGATCTGCTCGGTCCCAGTCTGTCCTTGAGGCACAGCTTTTCCGCTTCTAGGTATCTAGATCAGGAGTTAGCTATTAGAGTGGACTCGAACCGTCTGTCGAAATAGATGCAAGTCTTTGGGTTCAGTTGGAAGTCCCTTATATAGAAAAAAGATTCCCACTCTGCCTAATCCTCTTACTCGGCTTTTGTATGCCCGCAAGTTTCTTTTAGGAGGTATACATGTGTCTGCCTCATAGCAATATGACGATCTATCAAGGAGGTCGCTCATTTGCTATGCTGCAAGTTACTTTGGAGAAATAAGATCTTTTTATCCCAAGACTCCACCCCCAGAATCTTTGAGGCAGACCTTCATCGAGGTGTGGCATTTATCCTTTGAACTCGTCATAGTTTATTTTTTGGGGGTAAATGGCCATAATCTTCCACGCTTGCTAGACGGATTTCTGAAAGATGATCTGATAATATTATATTTCCTCAAAAATCGTTATATGCTTATTTGTTAAATATTACTACTCAAAGTTCATGATTAGGTGTACTCACTAAATTACTCTAGGCTAAGCAATATTTTCTTTTTTCCAGGTAATGGATATATTGAAGGCACCGAGTTGGATGGATTTCTGAGAGAATTTGTGTCAAGTGCCAATGCAACAGATATTGGACCTGAGGTAAATATTTACTAACCTTAAAATATAGCATTCCTGACGTTTTAAAAAATAAATGTTTTTTCGAGCTATATGCTTTTTTAAGCATCTCATTGTGTACTAGGTATTAAATTGTTTTTGTTTAGCCAGCCAAGAACCGGTGCATAGAATTTACTTAGAAGTTTTCGTTGAGTTTTACTCCGTTATGCAAAGTTTGATCGGCAAAGCTTTACGAAAATTTAACTTGGTCATTATGCATTTTTATATTCCGCAGGCTGTCTCTGACGATATGCTGATTGAACTAAAAGCATGTTTCATGGAAGCATACGACGACAATCAAGATGGGAAAATCGATATTCGTGAGGTATGTATATCAGACGGATATTTGAAAATATTTTATTCCAAGAAAACCAATTTAATTTTCTAAAGTGTTCCAGAAAATGAAAATAAACCTTCAAGTACCCTGTATATTTTCAATAAAATATATTCAGCTTTAAATAGTTCGTGATGCGGTACATTTCCTTTTGCGTTAAAATTTCTAAAATATAAAAGTCCAAAAAATTGTTTCTTCAAAAAAATTCGATTGCTCTGTATAAGCTTAATAAAACAGGAGTTCGGTATGGATCGGCTATTCAACAAATTCTCAAGTTGATATTAAAAATAAAAAATAATATATACTCACTCGATTCTAACTTTTAATTTCCCAGTTCCTACCATTAAATATTTATTTCTAATATTGAACTTTTCCTTCCAGCTAGCGCAATTATTGCCCATGGAAGAAAACTTCCTATTGCTGTTCCGATTCGACAATCCGCTAGAGTCCAGCGTTGAATTTATGAAGGTAGGTATTTCGAAAACGAAGTTCTAACTCGCAGTGAGGTACTAAATTGGGCCCTTTTAATCCGAAAGTGGATTATCATAGGCACTAGGGTTGAGTTAACAATAGGGTTGAGTTAACAACTAACTATGTCACGGTGTAGATTATTATTATCGATGATGTAGGCGCTAGAATTTGCAATTCTAATAGGTGCTTCCTCGGGAGCTTCGAGTTTCTGACATGTAATAAATTTAATAACTAATATTTAATTTTATTCTCATTATATATTACATATATTTTCATGACAAAATTTTAGGTGAAAAATAATAACGAAAATTTTGGAACCTCTGTTTTGTATCAAAATGAACGAAAAAGTCATCAAACCGTTACATATACTTAACACTCATTGGATCAGATATCCTTTGCTGCCCTGATGTATATCGTCATACTTATTCATTTAGGATATTATAGACAACTGGTCTAGGAAAAAGGTCAGAATACCGAGAAGAAAACGACAAGACCAACATAGGCCTATACCGTAGTGTCGGCATACTTTGCCATCCAAGGTGACTTTGCCAGAGTTTACTTTTTTTTTTGTAACAATATTTTTTGTAACTCCAATGGCAGAAACCTAGCGGAAGTTGTAGGAACTATTAAAGAAAGCGAGGTTAACTTGTTGCAAATAGTCAGACTTGCGATTGCTGCGCTATGGTAGTAGTGAACACGTGCTGCATATAAGCTAAGAATTTTATGATTTTTAATTTATAAAATGATAAGACTTGTGACACCTATATGAATACGATTAACCCAAAATAAATCCTTTTGCCAAAATATACACTTCAATGGGTAATGATTGTGAAATTTTGAAGTAATAAAAAATAATGGTTTTTGAGATTTTAATTTATTTAAAAAAAAGTGTGACCTTGCAAGCCACTCGTAGGTGTCTTTGCCTTATACAGGGTGATTCAAAAGTAAGCGGCATCCTTTCGGAGGCGTATTCCTTGCATAAAAATAAGACAAAAAGTTCCTATTAACATGGATCCGGAAATGCTTCCTAAGGGAGCTACGCCCCTTCGAATAGGACATCTGAAAGACGTATTTTTCTCTATAACTTTGAAACCCTTTACAATTGGATTTTGAAAATTGGTGTATTTTATAAACATTTGATGGCAATTAAGATACTAAATTGAAAATTCAAAAATCTTAATCTGTGTCACATACTGGAGAGGGTGAAAACATCCCTATTTTTTTTTACTCGTCAGGTTTTTGCGAAACATACGCAAATCAGAAAATTTTCAAAGGCAATTTTCTCGTAAACGGTACGCTGTATCAAATTGAACCACGAATACCTTTTCTGTGTAAAAAGCTGTAAACTTTCTGAATTTTTAATCAGAATCGCAAAAACCTGACGAGTAAAGAAAATAGGGATGTTTTAACCCTCACCCTCCCCGGTATGTGACGCCACTGATTATGATTTTTGAATTTTCAATTTAGTATCTTAATTGCCATAAAATGTTTATGAAATACACCAATTTTTAAAATCCAATTGTAAAGGGTTTCAAAGTTATAGAGAAAAATACGTCTTTCAGATGTCCTATTCGAAGGGGCGTAGCTCCCTTAGGAAGCATTTCCGGACCCATGTTGATAGGAACTTTTTGTCTTATTTTTATGCAAGGAATACGCCCCCGAAAGGATGCCGCTTACTTTTGAATCACCCTGTATATTTCTTACCGTTTTTGGTTTTTTAGATCAAAATATTGGTCGAATCAACAAAAAAAAATAGGCAGCCGGCACTACAAAAACTATAATGAAAATACTGTAAAAGAAGCAGTGCGAAATATTTTAAGCAATGACTTAAGTGATTTTGATATTTTGATATTAAATCGTATTTTTTTTGCTTCCAACAATGAAAAAAAAATATGGTACCTTTTTTAAAATCATATTTGAAGGCAAACTAACCCATATAATAATCTTACATTTAGATTTAGGTGGTTTTAAACGCGTTGGCAAAGTGTCACCAATTTGCAGGAGACTTTGCCAGATTTTTAACAAAAAAAAAAATAGAAGCAGTGCTTTCTAATTGTTTGTGTGTACAGGCATCTATAGCCAGAACATGGAATTTATACATAGTCTGTAGCCATACAAATTGCTATATCGGTTAAAAAAATATCAGAGAAAAAGTCTGAAAACCGTGGCAAAGTATACCGACACTACGGTACTTAATATTTAATGTTTTTAATGACTGTCGGAAAATATACCATTCGAAAACATCCTTGGGAAAACATCCAAGGAAAAACCAAACAGAATTGAATTTTTAAACCACAAGCACAGAATCGCTATCGTTTCCAATAATTTTCTAATAAGCTATAGTCTATACAGAGGCTTGAGACTTTGCATCTGGGAAGTAATCCCTGGAAACCCTTTGTATGACAACAACATTCCAAGAACACAGAAAATATTGTCGAGTTTCAAATGAGGACTTAAAAAAAAAAAATTCTAAGCTTATCCTTGAAAGAAAGTAGGTTTATCGTGGTCAAACATATGATTTCCAAACAATGGAAATATAAAGGAAAATATATCATGTAACAATAAGCTCTGTTCCAACCGACATTAGAACCGTTCTAGAACGGTAATTTCTAGTCGATCAATTCATTTGTCAAGTAGGATAAAGGTTCAACTTATTGAAAAATAGTTGGGCAACTGGAAATTACTGGTTCTGTAATGGTTCTCATGTCGGTTGGAATAGGGCTATAGTGAAAAATATTTCTAGTGCTACTTAGATTTATTTTAACACGCGCGAAGTATCCTTTGAATCAATAGAAAATTTATCTTTTTTTTTTTAGAATACCCCTATGTTTGCAAAGAAAACTGTTAGCTTATAATTCTGTACAGAGACCTTCCGTTTGTTTTCCTGTAATCTGATTTATTTCCATAAAAAGTCATCATAAAATTGTAAAGGAATTTCATCCTACATCCAGACAAAACATAAAAATATAAAATTCCATTCGGCTTCTATATTAACTCAATTTCTATTTGCTAGACCTCTTTCATCTCGTGTCGTATAATAAAAGAATGGGACGACGAGGCGTATCTTCTACATCAGACGTGTTCAACATCGCATTTGTCGCTTCCTGAACCAATAATAAAAAAAAAAAAACTTCCGTCGAAACGTTCGCAATAGTGCCATAAAAATGCGACGAGATCTACCCTTGATGTACCTAACAAAAACCCGCGACTGTTTTTTCCTTTTTCTAAAGAGGCTTTTGCGATTTTTTTTTCAGATTTGGAGGGAGTATGATACTGACGGGAGTGGTTACATTGAAGCTGACGAATTGAAGGTAAGGATTTGAGTGGATATTATAAAATCCAAAATGTTATGGAGACACGTGTCGATGATTGTTGACGCCAGCAATAATGTATCCAGAATCTTTCATCACGTATACTTTCACTAAATTTAATAAGGTCATAAAATCTGATTTGAATTCCTGGAAAAAAATAACCCTCTAAAAATGTATGGTTATGTTCATATTTTATTTTCACGAAAAGTTATAAAAAAAAGTTTAAGCCCCTTTTTAACCTCTCACGTAGCTCGCTATATCTCTCTCATTTTCTTTTTTATATTCCAGAACTTCTTGAGGGATTTGCTGAAAGAAGCCAAGAAAATAAACGATGTCTCTGAGGACAAACTTATCGAGTACACAGACACAATGGTAGGTAAAAAAATCTATTTACCTTTACCTACTTACTTTTTCTTGTGGATCTATAGATGAGTATGATAATTTGGTTTCAATATAATGCCTCCATATTTTTTTATTTGACTAAAATTAAAAATAGAATAGCTGTGATAAAATCCAGCTTTTTGCATGTTCTTCAACCACATTCTAAGCTATGTGACAACGTTAGTGTATTTGACGCTTTGACTTTTGGATAGACAATAATGACATGAAAACCTTCCTTCCAATTAAATTAAATTTTTTGTCAAAGAGATGGATTATTCTAGTCCGGTCGTATTTCGAACACTACTTTCAGAATAACACTTGTAATTATTCATAGCCAGTGCAGCACTATAAAGAGTATAATAATTCAAAACTTTCGAGACGCCCAAACTTCTTTGTGGTTTCGTTAGCTTCAAAAGTTATATTTTATTTATTTAAGGTGAAGATTATTGTGGAGAGTTTAACAAAGAAGGTAGCGAATGTAAACTTTGACAAAATGTTTGGAACTTTTGTTTACAACAATTCAATGTTGTGCTTTCGGAAAAATAGTTTGAAAAATTTAGTTCTTTTTCGAACGGGGTTGGTATTGTTTCAATTAATGAAAACTTTGGACGCCTACTTCCTTTCAACGTTTCAGGTGTCTGCAATCGTTATCAAGCGAATGAGAAAAATTCAATAAATTTACGTGATTTTACATAGCCCGTGCATTAGTTTGCAAGTGGATTATTTGCTATCTCTACTAATCTACACCGGAAAACTTCCACTCGGACTAGGCTAATCAGGGTGTAGGGTTTATGCTTAAACGCAGTTCATAATGCTCGCGAGTTTTCTGGATTATTCCAAACATACATTACCTCGATTTTCTAGAATTATTATAATCCGTTAAGCCATTGTAATAAGCGTCTAAATATTACCGGTATCCAGCTACGGACATATTCCTCGCCAAAAAGTCCGCTTAAAAATTGGAAATAACTCGAACATGCTTGGAATATCACTAACAGACAAAGTAGAAACACCGAGATAAGACGCAAAACGAAAGTCAGAAACATCGTGGAGGAGGTAACGAAGCTATAGTGGCGATGGGCTGGCCACATAGCCAGATACGATGACAAATTGAGACAACAAGAATCATGCGAAGACCTTAAAAAAGATAGGTGGACGACATAAGGATATTGGACGGCAAGCAGTGGATAACACTAGCATTTCTCAAGGTAATAAGATGAGATCTGAAAGATCGAAACGCGCCCTTGGATGGTGCATTCATCAGAATATTACTTATTCGAAACAAAGTGATTATGCAGCTGTTGTGAGTGCTTTAGAGCTGAAGCAAGGAAATAGGTTTTTAGTAAAGTGTCAGCTGAGAGACAGCTGAAAAGCCCACACCGAGACCATACTTGTCTGATTCTCCCTGGACGGAACTATCCAATCCCCAATCAAGAAGCGGTTACAGTGGCTGAAGCCTTGCTGGAAAACATGACAGCCAGATACCAGGTAAGCTTTGTTTCATGAGGGTTTATACTTTTGACCTAATTTGGCTTCATTTTTCAACATATAGCAATTGACTGAAACAAATCAATGACGTCAAAAACGTTCGTCGGTTCTTAAACCAGAAATCATTCATTTTAATTTTTCCAAAAAAAATGAATGTGTCATATGAATTAATCTACGACAAACTTTTTTTTTTCAAGTTATGACGTCTTCGATGTCAAAAGTATTAAATCTCGTGAAACGAACTGTACACATAAATCTTTATACCGATCAGGGGAGGAATTTTGAGCCCGGATTATGGAAGAAACAGCTCATGAGGTTACTCAGAATAAGGAAACCTCTCCGGAAAAGCAAAACTTTTCTACTGTCTCGTCAGTCGATGTTTGTGAATGAACACCAGCGAGGCTTATAGAAGCTCTGAGCATGAATTCACCACCAACTTGACTGTTGAAGTTTGTGAGGCTTTCGCGGCCCAGTTTTATTGATAAAGTGTTTTTTCATTAGGGCTTAATGGCCGTCGTGAGTTGGAATTTCTCCCTGACGTTCGCTAGCACGCGTGGCTAGCATCTTCAGAGGTGCTTCCATGTCCGATTCTTGTAGCAGACCGACCGCAAGTTGTGTTTATGTGTGAGTGGTTGTGGTGGGGGAGTGGCGGGGCTTCGCAGCACGTGGCTAATCTGAATTTTCTCTGTACTCAATGGAATATTTCTTGCGTTTCTGAGGATCGGGTTCCAAATTTGGTTAGGTTTTGGTTGGTTTGGTTTCTTCTTCCCTGTTGAAGTTCTCCGTATGTGTGTGGATTTCTATAGCTTCACGTACAAGACGATTGCGGTATCCGGAAGTCGGTGCAAGAAGCTTGATCTCACCAAATAGTATTTCGTGATTCCCTTCACCAAGCGCATGTTCCGCTACTGCCGATTTTTCCGATTGTCCACGGCCATTTGCACCGCTATAACTTAAGGGATATTTAATTCAAGTGAAACTTTGAATGTGACTCTTGTAGAAACAAAAGTCACATCCAGAACTCCACTTAGAATAAATATCCTTTAAGTGATAGCTGTGCAAATGGCCACTTACTAGTCTGCAGTTTCTTTTGTGCTCTTTGATCCTGGTTCCCATGGATCTTTTTGTTGTTCCTATATATATCTTACCACATGTGCATGGTATACGATAGACTCCAGCGCTTGACAGTGGGTTCCTCTCATCCTTGGCTGATCTGATTGATTTCTGTATTTTCCTTGTTGGCTTGAAGATCGTTTTTATATTGTGTTCCTTCAAGACTTTCCCTATCCTGCAAGTCACCCGAGAAATGAAAGGGAGATATGCATTAGCCCAGATATGCATTAGCCACCACTGGTTGTTCATCCACATTTTCGTCGTGTGTCCGTTTTGGGTCGCATGGCCCTGTCGATTTCAGATGCATTGTATCCATTTGAAAGGCCGACTTGAGGTGATCCAGTTCTTGCTCGAGATGTTGTGGCTTGCATATGTTCCGAGCACGTTCTGTTAACGTGGTTATAATTCCACGTTTTTGTGTTGGATGGTGGTTTGAGAGTGCATGCAGGTACCTGTCTGTGTGTATGGGTTTTCGGTAAACTGTGTGGCTCAGTGTTCCACCAGATTTCTTTATGAGTACATCGAAGCCATACCGTTGGTTTGTGGTCAAAAGATTCGGTCGGTAGCTTTCCTCTCGAAATCCTCCATAAAGAAGTTGGCTATGACCGGCTGAGCGGACTTCCCATAGCTACACCGTCCGTTTGCTCGCAAAATCGCCGTTCCACAGGAAGTAACTACCAGTGAGACATGTCTGGAAAAACTCAACTATGTCATTGGGGATGCTACTTGATATCAAGTCAAGAGATTCCGTCAATGGCACTTTTATGAATAGAGATACGACAACAAAGCTGGCCAGGATATCCTTAGGTTGGAGAATAATATCCCTAATTTTCTGGACGAAGTGAGTGGAATCCTTGACGCAAGAGCTAGTCTTTCCTACATGCGGTTGAAGAAGGGATGCAAGGTGTTTCGCTAGGTTGTACGTTGGTTCTTATATCCAGCACTGAAGCAGCCATCAGAGCACTACCTGATGTGGAAGCAGAAGAAATCCGTATTGAGACGGCTAACATTCTACAAAATGCTCGACCTCCAACCAGTCACCTCTCTAAGAAGGAAATAATGAAAATTGAGAACCTCAATTCAGCAGAAAATATAATCATCCTACCTGCGAATAAGGGCAATGCAACTGTTCTGTTAAGAACTGAAAACTACAACCGGAAAATTCAGGAACTCCTTGATCCATCTACCTACCGAAAGCTAAAGTAGGATCCCACCCAACTCCGGAACACCAACAAAGCCTGAGTTCGGCTTTGCACTCCACGGAGCGGAACGGAGCATGGATATCGTTGGTGAGTTCGGCTTGGCAAAAAAAGTTGGAGTGGATAAAGAGCAGTTTCATGGTCACGTGATCACAGAGTGAAAAGAGTAAAATGGTTAAGTCGAACGCATCAGGAGCAAACGAGCCGCAGCCCGCGAGCGCTTGCGCGAAAATAATTTCTCGCTGACATTTTTTTTAAAATTCAAAATTCAAATATTCCAACCGTTGATTGTTCCAACCAAGAAGCCGAAAAAATAAAATTTAATTGAAATTTTTCATTCATGTATTTTTTGTTTGTGGTTTTTGAGCCTGTTTGTTTTGTGTTTGCGCCTTATTGTGTTGTGATGGAGCAGAAACTAGTGGGCGTCAACTTTGCGAGTTTTTTCTTATTTGATAGTTCATCTGAATATGAGGACGTGTTGGAAAAAGTGGATAACTACAACGAACTTACTGTTCCATTTATGTCTGATAAACAGTTTCAGCAAAATTTCAGAATAACTGCTACCAGTTTCGAAGATTTGCTGAGAAAATGCAATCAACTGCTTGTAAATGTTCATGTAGGGTTTCCGAAAACTGCCTCTGATAAGGTACTTATGATCGCGATTTGGTATCTGGCAAATATGGAAAGTTTACGGTACGTTATAGTGAAAAGTGAGGATTCCAAAACGAATTGGGAAATATTTTTTTAGATTTATTGCTGAGAGGTTTGGTGTCACAAAGTCAACTTGTTGGGAGATCCTTTACCGCACTTGCAAATTGATTTTGAAAGTTAACACGGCCTACAAAGTTATCTGTTGGCCCAAAAGAGAAAGGCAGCAGGAAATTTCTAACAGTTTCGCAAGATCTGGCTTCCCAGGTAGATATATTACTTTGTTTATTGTTAAGGAATCGTCGGCTGTATTGATGGTTGCCACATAAAAATAACAGCACCTCAAAAATATCCAAATTCATATGTGAATCAGAAAAGTTTCCATTCCATATTATTAGGAGTTTGCGATGATAGAAAGCAATTTACTCATGTGTATGCTGGAGACGCAGGATCTGTTCATGACTATACAGTGTTTAAACGTTCTGATCTGTATCAAAGAATTTCAAATGGGGAGATTCAATTTCATAATTATTGTCATATGGT